GGTCCCTACCCAGCAGGACTTTTTCACTGTCCACCTCGGGTGTTAAAATGACGCTGGGAACGGTTTCCCAGGGGCCAGCGATGCTTTAGCTGTGCTCCCAGCCTCTGTGCTGAGCTGGACCAGTAGCATCCCAGTTGGTCACTCGGTGCCCTCAGGCCACACTGGATGGCTCCCGGCTGTCCTTCCGGGCTGTGAGCCCGCAGTTGCCCTGTCCCGCCCGGGGGCAGTGCTCTTGGATCCCCTGGAACATCACCTCTCTGCGGGCACGCTCTCCAGGTCCCCGCGCCCGCCTTGAAGGCTCCCTCGTGGGTCCTGCTGAGCCTGGTCCTGCTTCGCTGGCCGTTTCTGACTCTAGTGGGGGACAACAAAGGCAAATTTTGAAAATGAGCGAGAAAACCAGTGCAGTTCAAAAGCAGCTAGGTCAGAATCACAAAATGGGCTTCCTGTGTGTATTGCGGTTGCATGGTTAGTGTGACTTAATACGTCAGCGTCTCCAGCCTGGAGGGGTCACAGGCCTTTTCCAGACAGCCACTCCCCGCCCTCGCGCATTCGCGTCCGTAGAGACCAGGCTTGGGAAGTGCCTTGCTGTGATCAGCCCCGACGTGCGGCCTGGTCCCCGAATGGCTGTCTTCCGAGGCAGTTGGGGCTTCCCCGCGGCTGACAGGTCCCCCTCCCGCACCAGCCTGCACATCCGTCCCCTGCGGTGTTTGGAGCTGGACTGACGGGTGAGGGACGTGCGTCCCTGCTGTCCAGGGTGAGGGCAGGCGGTCAGGGGGCGGTGCCAGGTTCCAGAGACACTTTGAGAAGAAGCAGAGGTGACCCTCTTGCTTGCTGTAGGCAGAGCAGAAAGGAGGGAACCACACGGTCGGTTCCAGGCCGGAGAGTAGCCAGTAGGACGTGGGACGAGCTCCTCTGCACGTGACAGTAAACGGGATCTCGCTGTTTCAAACCACCCTTCTCTTCAACACGTTAGAAAGATGTTCTCAGTGTGTTACTGAATCATCTTTTTAAATGTAATTTGGTTGTGTTTTTCTGTTTGCTCATGTCTCGCTGTCACTTTGTCTCAGAATAGACCGGCGCCTTCTGCAGACGCCCGGTTCACCCTGAACGTCCCTCCTGGCAGGTCCATCGCCCCTGCTCTCCAGGGGCCTGGCCGTGGCGGGTCTGGGTCCCCCCGTTCAGAGGACGAACTTTCTCTCCCTCAGGTGTCAGCGGAAGCAGTGGCGCGTGGATCTGCCAGCCACCAGCGTGGTGATCACATTTCACAATGAAGCCAGGTCGGCCTTGCTGAGGACGGTGGTCAGGTGAGGCCCAGAGGTGCCCCCCATTGCCCACCTGCTGCAGGTCCCGGGGACGTTGCTTCGCAGGGACACTGCACCTGGGCTGTATCCCCAGCACAGCCAGGCGGGGCTGTCCGGGAGTGCAGGCAGGTCACCTGAGTGTGCAGGACAGGGAGGGGCCAATGGCTCCTCCGGCCAAGGATCTGAGTGAAGATGGGAGAGTTCCCCACCCCAGGTGACACCCCTGAAAGGCCTTCAACCTTTATCCCTCTGTCTTTTCCTAGTGTGCTCAAGAAAAGCCCACCCCACCTCATAAAGGAGATCATCTTGGTGGACGACTACAGCAATGACCGTAAGTACCTGGGCGGTGTCCCCCCTGCGCGGGCCCTGCCCCGGGCACCAGCCTTGCTTGGAGAGGCTGCTCAGGCCCGGTTTGCGAAAGGCGGGGTCCGGGCCTCTGGGACGCCCGCGGATGGCCGAGAACCTCCACTGAATGCAGAGCCCTCGGTGAGCGCGAGGTTCAGACGCTCCGCTTCTCTTCTTTCCTAGCCGAGGACGGGTCTCTCCTGGGGAAAATTGAGAAGGTGCGTGTTCTCAGGAACGATCGGCGAGAAGGTAAGACTCTTCTTAATTCAGCACCAGACCATAGCATTCTGACTTTTCCTGATCCCCGTAATAACTTAAATGTTTCAGCGAAGGGAACAATTAACTGTGTAGCTCTCTGTCTGTCTGCTGCTCCCGGGGCCTCTCGGGAGCCTCTCCCTGCCAACGTAGGAAAGACACTCAAAGCTTAACTAATTGAAATTGTTTGTATACTAGGGCAGGAGTTCAAATGACATTTTTATTTATGTATTTAGAGAATTGGCCTCTCTCCTTCCTTCACAACCTAGGAAGTTTTATTAGTCCCTTGAGTACTAGTGGAGTTTAGAAGAAAAACAAAAGGTTTAGCAATGGGAAATTTAATGACTCCATGCTCCAGGCATCTGATAAAATAACTGAGAGTCAAGTTTGACAGCCTGACGACGGGGGCGAGCCGTCGCAGAAAAGGGGGCGAGCGCCGCAGTTACATGCTTGTTGGATCTTGCAAACGCCAGCCTCAAACCCTGCGGCCAGCCTTGTGCTTGCTGGAGGCGAGCTCCTGGAGTCCACTTCATTGGCAGTTATGAGTGACTCCAAAGCGGGAAAGTGTGACTTCGAAGCACCTGGAAAGGAAGCTGAAATCACACTGTAATTAGCGTCCATTGCATCGGTGCCGTTGGAGAGCTGGTGGCTCCTCCTGAGTCCCGAGCGATCTCTCTGCAGAGAGACACTGCAGAGCCGTGAAACATGGGCCAGTCTTGCTATTTGCGGCCGACTGTCAGTCCCGGAGTAGTGGTTGTATTATTTATCAAGGTGTCCTGTTTGGCTCCCTGTGCAGTCCAGCTGGAGTCCAGGAAGGCAGTTTTTCTTAGCAAGAATCTAATCAGCCAATAAAGGGACCGAGCCCACGAGAGCCGCGCCATCAGCACCGCATTTTAACCAACTATAAGATCATCCATCCAGATGTTCCAGATGCATAAACAGTGGAATCAGCCTTGCCCCTAAGCGAGCCCTGTTTGCTGGAATCACATCTGTCTTCCCAAGCTCAGAATCAACCAAAATCTTGAGATCAAACCAAAATCTTATGCTTTGTATTTGCTTTTGGCCCTAAGCAAGCTACATAATGACTTTTTGAATTTCAACCCAAAGTATGTGCTGGCAGAGGGAACGTAGAAGGAGCAGGCGGACAGAAAGATGTTTTTCATGTTGGCATTTTATAACCGATAGATCACTTGCTGGCCTTATTAGTGCCTTTAAACCACTTACAAATTAAAAAAAAAAATTTCTAAATATAAACTTTCTATTTGCTATATGTGAGGCAGTTCATTTGGGTAGGAACCCACATAGATGCATTGTTTTGGCGACGAGTAAGGTTGGGAAGTTGTGTGACGCCAGATTATGGTGGGTCTGTGTGGAGCCAATGAAGTACGTGATGGTCGGGTGAGAAAATGTACATACAACATGTGTGCGTGTATGTGTGTGCATGTGTGTGTGTGTATGTGTAGGTACCATATATTTAAACAGCTACACAGGGGTTTATAGTGATGCTACTAGAAGACAAAGAAAGCCAGCTGCATAAGATGTCATGGGAGCTGGGGTTTTACTGTGCCGGCAGCTCTCAGTCTTATTACATTCCCTGGAGAACTTAAAAAATGACCATGCCCTACCCACAAATAAATAAAATGGTCTGGATTTCTAGGGGTGGGGCCTAGGCATCTGCATTTTGAAAAGCTACTCAGATGATTCTGAGGTGTTCTGAGAGTTGAAAACCCCAATCCTCATTCTGTAGAGGGAAATGTTAAAGCCCGAAGAGGCTGAGTGGCTTTCTCAAGGTCATTTAGCTATTTAATGACGGCAGTAGGGCTAAACTTTATTCATAACCCAAGTTCTCTGTCTCATTGCCTTTTTTCCTCTGTTCCTGCCATCCTGCCTGCCTTTGCACTAATTTATTTTTTCCAGTTTCACTGAGACATGACTGACATGTAACATTGTATCCAGTTGAGGTTTATAACATAATGATTTGATCTGTGTATATGTTGTGCACCATCCCCACAGTTAACATGTATCACCTCACAGTTACAGCTGTTTTTTTCTTATGATGAGAACTTTTTAGATCTACTGTCTCAGCATCTTTCACGTATATAATACAGGATCTTTAAGCATAGTCAGCGTGCTGTACATTACATCCCAGGACTTATTTATCTTATAACTGGAAGTTTGTACCTTTTCACCCCCTTCACTCATTTCACCTACAACCCACCCCTGGCCTGTGACAAGCACCCACCTGTTCTGTTACTCTGAATTCAGAGTTTTCAGATTCCACATGTGAGATGCACAGTATTTTTCTTTCTCTGACTTCACTTAGCGTAATGCCCTCAGCGTTCGTTCCCATTAGTGCTCGCTTTGAGGAGTACGGCCTGCATCTGTAAATCGTGACGGTCTCCTCACGGGCCAGTGCCATGCCTCTTCACGCGAGCGTGAGGCCTTGCTGCATTTAATCCCACTCCTCTCCCCTGCTCCACGTACTGTTACCGTGTGTTTCTCTCTTCTGCATATATTTTAAACCTCACAATGGAGGGTTAAGGTGTTTGCTTTAAATAACCAGCTACCCTTTACAGAAATCAAAAGACTATGGACTGTTATATTTATCCTTATATTTGTCATTCTCTGAATCTTTATTTCTTTGCACAGATGGGAGTTTCCATCTAGTGTCATTTCCCTTCAACCCAGAGAACTTTCTTTAGAATTTTCTTATTCTTGTAGGCAACAGAATCTCTCAGTGTTTGTTTATCTGAACAGTCTTTCTTTGTCCATTATTGAACAGTAATTTCCTTGAATAGAATTTTGAACTAACTATTGGTTTTTCCTTCACCACTTTAAAAATGTCCTTCCTTGGGGGTGGAAAAACATCCTTCCAGTGTCTTCAGGCCTCTGTTTCTGTTTCGGATGTAGTTGTCATCTGAATTATCCCCTTGTATGTTACGGATTGTTTCCTCTGGCTGCTTTCCAGTGTCTCTTTATCTTTGTTTTCAGCAGTTTGATTATGATATGCCTAGATTTATTTTTCGTTGTATTTACCCTGCCTCAGGTTTGCTGATCCCATTGAATATGTAAGTTGATGGTTTTCTTCCAACTTTGGAGAAATTATTAACCTTTTATTTCTTCATGTATTTTTTTCTGCCTCATTCTTGGACTCCAGTTGCACAGATGTTGTATTACTTGATACTGTCCCGTAGATCTCGCCTCACCCCTTTCTGTCTGTTCACCAGATAGCTCAGTCTCTGTTGACCCATGTTCAGGTTCACTGCTATGAAACCCAGTCAGTGAATTTTGCATTCCGGATAATAGCAGTTTTCAGTTCTGGAATATTCATTTGATTCTTACAGCTTTCATTTCTCTGCTGATATTTTCCATCCGTTCACTCATTAGAGCCATCATTTCCTTTGAGTTCTTGGACATAGTTATTATTAACAGCTGCTTTAAACTTTTTCATCTCAAGGCAAGTTTCTATTGACTTTTTTTTTTCCTGGATATGGATCCCATTTTCCTATTTTCACTCATGCCTTGTAACTTTTTTATATGTTGTAGAGACACCGGATTCTGTTACCTTTCTTTGAAGAGTGTTGATCTCTATTATATTTGGCAGTTAAATTACTGGACGATGACCCTGAACTTGTGAATCTCTCATTCCTGTGACTTGGACTGTAGTCCTAGATGTGTTCCTTCTGGAGTTTATGTAAAACTAAGGTGTTTACGAAACCCTTTAAACTTGGTGGGACTGAGGTTCCAAACTTTGTCCCTGTGGCGGATACCAGCTGAAATCTCAGTTCTCTCTGCCTTCTAATTACTTCTTTTCATAGACTTCTTGGGGTCTCCCCTGTGCCTGCCTGTTCAGGAGTCAGCCAAGGACTTAAAGGGAAGTTACCATCAGATTTGGGGCTTACTTCTCAGAATCTGCTCCGTCAGTGCCTAGCCACTCTAGACACCCTGAGCGCTATCCTTACACCTCAGTGGACTGGAGAGTAACCTCAGGGAAACACCAATAAATGTGGATTTCACTCCGTGTGATTTTTCTTCTTTTAAGGGTCCAATCCCCTCATTTCTGCCTGCTGCTGACTGCTCTCCAGCTCATTCCAATAGTTGCTTTTTCTGTTTTGCTCAGAGTTTATCATTGTTTTCTGAGTGAGGGTTTGCCCAGAGTAGCTTCCATGCTACTTTGCAATTCCAGAAAGAGAAATCTTTTGTCTTTTTGCCCGGCTCTAGCATACAGCTCTGTAAATACCCTTGAAAACCCATTAGGCTACTGTGGATAAAGGAATGTAAAGCACTGGTCCTCACTGGTTGTGACTGGTCGTATCACCTTCATATGTACAGCCCAACATACGTAATGGTAGTAAAGATGTTTATGGCCACATCCTACAGATAAATATGCCATTTATGATGAGACAGTCTGTGATTAAAACATGAATATTATTAACAGATCACAAATATATAAACTGTAATTTGACTAATAGTGTAACTGATTTTGTGTTAAAGCTAAAAAACTGGGCTTTGTCGTTTATGGTATTTGGCTTGGGTTGAGGCTTAGAGAACAAAGGTACTTGCAACACTGTTACCGCCGTTAGAATCAGTGCCATTAGCACTCAGAGTGTCTGGGTGACACCTTTAGCCCAGTTAATTAGGAGACTGTTGCTCTGTCAAGGGAAACAGTTTTGAAAGTTCCACGTTTCAGCTGCCGGGTAAAGGAGACTTCAGTAATGCGAAGGCCTTTCTCGGAAGGCAGTGTTTCTGAGAACGTTGTCTTCTCAGGCATCCAATTAACTGTACAAAGCCCCGGCAGGACTCTCTCTCTCTAAACACGGTGTAGTATTGATCCTGCCACAGGAACCTGCGGGTAGCTGCCGGCGGGAGGGAGGTGGGGATGCGGGTGCGGGGTGGGTGTCCTCGCCTTTTGCCCAGCGCCTCCCCCCTGACGTGCGTGTCTACTCTCTTCTGCAGGCCTGATGCGCTCGCGGGTCCGGGGGGCCGATGCGGCCCAGGCCAAGGTCCTGACCTTCCTGGACAGCCACTGCGAGTGCAACGAGCACTGGCTGGAGCCGCTGCTGGAGAGGGTGGCCGAGGTGAGGCCCGGCTGGAGCCGAGGTTCTCCTCGAGGCTGGGGAGGGAAAGGGAGCCTCAGGGACAGGTGTTGGCTGTGGAGCCCGTCAACAGGGCAGAGCTCACCTGACAAGGGGGCGGCAAGGACGGGCGCAGGGTGGCCGGTCGGCACCTGGGTGGCGTGGGAGCCTCATAATTCCCTCTCAGTGTGTTTCTCTGATGTATTATGTTCTTAGCTCTGCTGGTCCTGTTTCTGATTTGTTTTTCGAAGTCTGTCTTCTGGCCACACGGGGTTCTTTAAACGGCTCAGGAAAGCACTTACCCTTTGTTAACCGTCGGCGTGGGGCAGCGTCTCTCGCCAGCACCAGCTGTCCGAGTGTAAAGAGGGCAGGAAAGTTAAAAGGCCTTATGTTCACGGAGTCTCCTACCAGGACAGTGGCAGGAGATGGCTCAGTGTTGGGAGGAGATGGATTTGTTTATAAGACAGACGTAGAATCTAGAATCCTCTAATCAGTTTGTTTCTCCTCGTGCTGTGATGATATTGATGTTCCCCACACCTCACACCACTAGTGTGCTCATGAAAGTATATTTCTCACTTTGCTGTGTGGGCCTCTCAGCCCCGAGTCCATTCCTGAGGTTTCCTGCAGCTCGCAAATTACCGACGTTTGAGTGCAGCTGAGCTTAGATTCTTCAGAATGAAAGCAACCCCCTGGTTGAAGGTTTGACATTTGGGAAAACAGAAAAGGACCCTGGTGTCCTCCGGGCCTTCAGCCGAGTGAACAGGTGCCTGGATTGTCCCGTGCATCTCATCTGCACCCTGGCTCCTCCTGTCCCTCGGGCAGAATGGCACCTGTCTGTGACGGCCAAGAGCGGGCCGGGCTGGGAGGGCTGGGTCTCCGTGGGCACAGGGCAGCTGGGTGTCGCAGTAACTGCCTAGTGCCTTCTTTTGCGGCTGGGTTCTTGGTTTGCTTTGACACCTACTCTTGTCTCTCTTTGTTTTCCAGGATAGGACTCGGGTTGTGTCGCCCATCATCGATGTCATCAACATGGACAACTTCCAGTACGTGGGGGCGTCTGCTGACTTAAAAGGCGGTAGGTGCTGCTGTCCCCCTGCCTTGCTCTTCCTGCGTCTGAGCACGGCTACCTCAGTGTCACAGTGACGGGGGACAGCGGCTTTAGCACCGTGTGCCTGTCCTCCGGGCGTCTGTGCTCAGCAAGTACAGTCCCATAAAAAGGGAGAAGTAGCCGTGCTTCTTCCAAGAGCTCCCGTGTTTCCTGCTCGTCTCGTGTCTCTCTGAGCCGTTACGACATGTGGCTCAGTACAGTTCTGGGGTCATTTCCATCGGAGAAGATCCAGCCTCCCCACCAGGCATCTGGGGTAAGGAGACTCCAGAGCTGACAGGCCGTATGTGCCGGGCCAGGAGCTTAGCTTTGAGGAGCCGAAGGGGCTGGACCCATCTTTGCCTCCTCCCTCGTGCCAGCTCCTCTGACAGCCTGAGTGACTGGTGGCAAACCCATCACCTGGTCACCCAGGTGGATGCCTGGTCACCCCTGACTCCTGCTCACTAGTCACCAAGCCCTGCTGATTGTACCCAGCTGACTGTGGTTGGTTATGGCCCCTCCTCCCCACCTGGACCACCCAGGTCCTGCTTCACTTCTCATTACCTGTGTCTGAGTGACCACACAGTGTCCTGTCAGTACAAGTCCTGTTGTCCATCGGAACGCTGACATCACATGTCCCGCAGCCTCCGGAAAATTCCATCTTGAACTTTTGAAAGAATGAACTTGAAAGAGACACATAAGGTCTCCGTAGGAATATAAAAGTTTTGACGTCACAGGCCCCCTGAAAGGGTCTGTGGACCCCCCCTCCCCCATGGCTCCTGGACCACACTGGAGAACCTCTGGTCCTGTGATGCTGAGTGATTCAGGGATCACACCAGCCCCTCTGAGGACCTGGCCCTGTTACATCTGGCTCCTAGCAGTTGTCCCTGCGTCCCTGGATCGATCGTATGTGTGCGGGGGTGACCTGTGCCCCACAGGACTCTTNCTGGCTCCTAGCAGTTGTCCCTGCGTCCCTGGATCGATCGTATGTGTGCGGGGGTGACCTGTGCCCCACAGCCCAGGAGTGAGCGCTCTGTGCTCTGGAACCCAGCTGGTTGGCAGCCTCGCCAATCAGAACTCGGCTGCGAGCCCGGAGGTCAGCAAGGGCTGCTCCGAGCAGCTGAAAGAGCTGTCAGCCTTGCCTGTTCATGTAATATATTCACTATTGATCCTTTACACCCACGACCTGGGAGGTCTTGTCCAGCTGCCCAGCATCCCAATTTCTTTATGTAAAACAAGGGCTTCTTTTCCCACCTCCTCGCACTTTGAGCTCATTAGAAGGTGGGATATTCCAGGCAGACACACGGACAGTCTAACATCAGAAAAGAAAACAGTAGAACTGTAAGATTGGACGCATCCTCAGAAAATAGGATGCTGGGACCAGCTAGTGACACTGGGGCCTTTGCCTGCCGCTCTCAGGCCGTGTCGCTGTGGGCGGGGCACTCAGCGGTGCTCTCAGCACCCCGTCTGAGAAGTGGGGATGGTGGTGCTGCCACAAGGGGAGTGAAGGGCCGAGAGCGGCCAGTGTGAGGCCAGGGATGTGGCTGAGCAGCTCCCTTGTCAGGGCGTCAGCAAGAGGTCATTCGTCCTGGGAGGACTGTACTTAGGCTGAGAAACAAAATTCAGGAGAGACTCTTAGCAACTGGTGAGAAGGCCTGGACAAGATCCCTCGCTATCCAGACGCCTTACTGTTCACAGTGTCTTGCTGTCCAAGCACATGCCGGAGCTGAGATTTGAGGGGCTCTTTCTCCCACGGCCCTGCTATGTCAGAGCAGGTGAGGGACCACGAGATGGTCTGGAGTGGGGTGCAGGCCTCCTGCTGGATCCGAAGGGTGGGGGCCAGATTCACTCTAAGCATTTTACGAAATCCCTTTAGAGAAGAAAAAAACCAAGGATGACATTTTTAGGAGATTCTTAAAATCTAATATAGTTTGTCTCTGTGGGCCAAATTAATAAGATTATAACGAACATACAAAAATTACAGAACCTGCCGGTGGAGGCCTTTGCATTTTCTGTTCATGACACAGCCAGGACGTTCATTGTTTCTGGTTGATGTTGGTGTGTTTGAGGTGGGCTGTCTGCCAGGGGGAGAGCGGACTCCTCAGGAGGCCAGCCTGGGGCCTGGATCAGTTTCCTTTCCTGCTTTACTGTCCCTGCTCCTGGCTCTGCAGTGACAGCTGGGGACCCTTTTGGTTCCATGCCTCTGGTTGAGCCATAAAGCCTGCTGAGCCGGCCCAAGAGGCCAGAGCCCCGCCTCCGACCCAGCCCTGCTCGGGCCACAGGCACCAGGGCTGTCAGGGCAGCCACACCCTGCATTCAGAGTGTGCAGACGAGAAATCCGAACTCGGGCATTGCACATACCCTGCTGACCGTAGGCCTGACGGCAGAGAGCCTGAGAGGCCCAGAGCTGACTGATGGGTGGTCCTGGAGTATTAGGTGTGGCTGTCAGACCCTCGGAAACTCAGTGCAACGAGCCGGTGTTGCCTGGACCTGCTCTCCTGCTGCATCTGTAGAGCAGCCGCAGGTGGGGGTGCTCGTGCCAAGTGGCTCGGGGTGCGGTCCCTTCTGAGTGTGGGGAGAGCTGGCAGCTGGGGGCCAGGGTCCTGCAGATTCCAGAACCCATGCCCAGGTGCCAGGCCCAGGCCCACCGTCCTGCACAGCCTGTGGATTCTAAAAGTGAGTCAGAGCAGGTGCCAGATTGAGCAGAAATTGAAGCTTCCCGCCCACTTTGCTGCTACTTTTGGCTCCTTTCCCTCTAAAAGTTTTCCCTCTCCCGCCTCGCCCAGGTCATTTTAGCCTCGAATGGGGTTGTTACAATGGAGAGAGATTGAGGACACCATCATCACTATGTTATACATGTGAGACTGGTACAATATTGTGTGTCGACTGTAATGAGAAAATAAGTGATTTTCTTTTTTAAAGAGAGACATTGAAGAGATACATTTGCAGGCCCAGGGAACCGGCATCTGTCCCCTGCCCTAGGGCGGTGTTGGAGGCAGGTGGCAAACTTTTTTACCCCACTGTTCTCACCTCCTTACAGCCCTGGATGTGCCGGGTGTCCTCACGCAGACCACTTCTCTTATTTCACATTTATTCTTAGGCATTTTAATTTTAGAAAAGCCTGGCCCACATGTCCCCTTCTGGGTAAGCTTTTTGGGAACAGATTTCTCTGCACCCTCCCAGCTGCTCTCTCCCTACCGCGTCTTTGTGTGTTTTCTGCATTGTTTAGTGTTCAGTGAGTTTTATCAAAATATCCCGTATTTTCAAGCTGTGAGGGGCATGGGTCAAGGAGCAAACCGCCGGTTCTTGTCAGCACGCTGTTTCTCCTCTGTGGCTGGCAGGTTTCGACTGGAACCTGGTGTTCAAATGGGATTACATGACGCCCGAGCAGAGGAGAGCCCGGCAGGGGAACCCGGTCGCTCCCATAAAGTAAGTGCCAGGATCACAGGTAAGACCCCAGGCTCTGGCCCCGCCCTAGAGACAGACCTAGTGGAGCCCTTCACCCTCTGCCCCCTTGACCCCATACTCCCCGGCTCAGCTCAGGGCTGGGTGCCGCCAGCAGGGCACAGAGTAAAGTACGTGGAGATTTCTTTCTCCAGATGAAGCACACACGAGGCAGACCTGCCAGCTGGGTGCTCTCCGTGTTTCTAACCTGGGGCATTTTCCACAGCAGGGCGGGGCCTCCAGGTTGACCTCAGGGACCCGGGAAAAGGGGGCTGTTGCCGGGCAGAGGCCCCTTCCTGGTCCGCTCTCCTGTTTGCCCACAGAGGAGGCGACTCGTCTTCATTAGCCCCTGGCGTTAAGGTCCCCAGGCCACGTCTGGGCCCACTGGGAGCGGGATGCACCTCCCAGCAGACTGGACTCAAACCCCCTGCAGCCCAGCGGCCCCCTGCAGTGACCCTGAATTAGTGTGGGCCCCTGAACGTTCTATTGACCCTCCCCCAGCCCATAAGGGAGTGAGGACGGTGGCGGGTCCATCAGACCCGGGGAACCTGCCCCGTGGCAGCGGCTGTGCTGAGATCGCTGGTGTCATCCTAAGTGTGCTGGCTGCTTCCTGGGTGGCTCTTCAAGGAAACTGGGCACAGGAAGGCTGCGGGCTTGCCGAGGGCGACTAGTCAGTGAGTGCCCCCAGCGCAGTGGTCACTCTCGCTAGGACTCGGTCCAGCCCCTCGCAGGGCAAGTGGGGAGGCGTTTGAAGACAGTGGTAAAGCAGATCGGTTGTTTGTGAGGTCAGCGTGTAGGCCTGACCTTGGCGTAAGAACGCTCGTGGGCTAACCTTGAACTTTGACCTCTCGCTCATCCCTCCCCCTTCTCTGCCTCCTTAGGACCCCCATGATCGCTGGAGGGCTGTTCGTGATGGATAAGCTCTATTTTGAAGAGCTGGGGAAATACGACATGATGATGGATGTGTGGGGAGGAGAGAACCTGGGTACGTATGCGCCTCGTGTCTCCGCCACCAAACAGCTTCCGGTTCTGGGGAAACCGCAGTCTTTTCCTGTCCGCCCAGAGGCGCAGACATGACAAGTGGAAGCTTTAAAGACACAGTCAAGGCAAGAGTTTGTGGGATGCAGGGAGCCAGCTGGAAAATGTTAAAGAAATTAGAGCGACCATCCATCCAACGTCATGAGTCCCCACGTCAGTATAAATAGCGCCCCTTTTACTCTTAAAAGTGTCGTGTGTTGGACATTAAAATATGTCGCCCTACGAGGACAGAGGCAGAACACAGAAAAGCCCTTGAAGGGAAATGCAAACTCTTCAACGTGGTTTGGGTCCGAGGGTTTGGAAAGCACGCTTACAGAAACGGGGGCCCTCTCGGGCTCTAGGGTTCATTTCCCACCGTGTAGAGCAGACAGGGAGCCCTGGTGGCTGTAATCCTGGCCTCAGAGGGGGCGAGGCCTTGCATTTAATCCCTTCCTGACTCCTTTGTGAAGGCTTCTAATTTGATTTCATTTTTTAAATAACCCACGCGGATCATTTTTAGCCGGATTTAGGGACAGTGAAATTTATAGACTTGTCCGTATTGGAAGCTGCATCGTATGTATCACATAAAGATAAAAAGACTCGCCTTCTTTTGTTTTGTTCCTTTGTTTTACTTGAAGCCTTCCAGTGTTCGGGGTTCTGAGCGATTCTTCTTGGCTACTAAATGCTGTTGAATTCCACTTGCCCGTGGTGGGCGCACCCTGGGAGGAGCGGCGCAGGGCAAGGCAGAAAACGGTGATGCCGCTCTCATTTTTAGTAGTTTTTACTTGTAACAGAGACTGGTCTTTTTTGTTAGTTTAAAAGAAAAGACTAGACCTGGTCGGTGTGGCTCAGTGGGTTGAGCATTGTCTGATGCACCAAAGGGTCGCAGGTCCGGTCCCCAGTCGGGGCACGTGCCCATGTTGCGGGTTCCAGTCCCTGTTGGGGCGAATGCGGGAGGCAACCTGTTGATGTTTCTTTCTCACACCCATGCTTCTCTCCCCCCTCGGGTGAGGGTTTAAGAACAAAAATTCCCCCATTTTACGGTGTTAAAGTTAGTGATGGCATCTCGCCTGTGGATGGCGTCTCTGCCTTGGTTTGGTCAGGAGTCCTTCTTTAGGGGTCTTGCAGTGACACGGGGACAAAGGACCCTGAGTCACATCCTGGTTGTGTGACTTTAGCGCTGTGTTGACAGGTAGGCAGGACATGGATTAAAGTTGCTTGAGCTCTAAAAGCTTCAGAAGAATTGTTAACCTCCGAAGAGGATTCGAGTCCCGCTTAGTGGAAACGGGACAGCGTGTCACTTAGGTGACCACTTCCCGCAGCCACGGCGCGGTTTTCGGAAGTGTGTGCCGTCAGCTGAAAACACGGGTTAGGCGAGTGACACGGCAGCCAGCCCCTTGTGTCAGCAGCTGCAGCGAAGGTTGATTTAAGTCTCAGAAAAGACGTTTCACCCCGAGACCAGAGAGAGGGGAGAGAATTTTATTTATTTATTACCTGGTTGGTTGGTGGTTTGGTTTTTATATTTGTGTAGCTGTGCTGTGTGCGAGGTTCCGCAGAAGGGCTGAGGGGCTCCTTCGGGGTGAGGCAGGTCGGGAGGAAGGGGCGTATCCCACCTGGGCTTGGGCAGCCTCTCCTCTCCCCCTCCAGGAGGCTCGGATTCGAGTCCCGGTCAAGGGCACGTACCTGGGTGGCAGGTTTGTTCCCCGGCCCCGGTCGGAGCGTGAGCAGGAGGCAGCCAGTCAGTGTCTCTCTCACACTGATGTTTCTCTCTCTCTCTCTCTCTCTCTCCGCCCTCCCGTCTACTCTCTAAAAACCAATGAGGGGGAGAACTCCTAGGGGGAGTGCGTGCCCGGTTAGCTCGAGCAGCCCGCATCCCGCCCCTTACTCCTGCGGGTAGAGTCCGTGGTGAAGCAGGCGGGGAGTAGCCACCCAGGTAGGGGTCCATGGGCAGCTGTCGGGCACCCGGACACCCTGGGTCACTGTCATACTCCCCATGGTGCCAGCGACCTTTGCCAGGTGGCTTGAGGCCTGCCGACCCTCAAGGGCAAGCGTCCCTTTTGCAGTTTAAGGGAAGAGAACTGATCTTTTTCCTGGATGGAGAAAACCCAGGCGCATGTCGGTGCTCGGCGCGCGTGACGTGAGTTCCAGAGGGAGCTGGCGCGCACACTTGCCTGTTGTATCTCCCGCCGAGGCTTAATCGTGGGGTGTCAGGCCTTTGGTTTCGGGATGTTCTTACCCCTTCAGCGTTGCCTTTTCCGACAGCGTCGACACTGAGCAAGTGCGAATGGGATAGAGTCCTCCGCGGTCCCAAACCAGCGGGCGGGGAATTCGGCCCAAGCGTTTCCTGGGCTGATACTTGCGACGTGACGGACTCGCTGGCCTCATGCCGGGCGCCCTGTATCCTCAGACCAGAGAATCGCTCTCATCTCAAGGCGTTTCGTCGGAATCTGAAAAATGTTACAACAGGCTCTCCCTCTTTCTCTTTTTAACTTGGAACAGAATTCTGTGAAATAAAACAAAAACAAAAAACCATGGGACTTGGTGACGTGGACCTGCGTGGCCTCCCTAATTCTGATCAGTGCTGAAAATGTAGGATAGTCAGCGACCTGATGTGGCGCTCTGTTTGGCGTGAATGCTTTGTGTCCGCACCACGTTTCCGTGTCTGTAAAACAGCACTGCTGGGGGGAGACACCTCCCAGGGAGCTGAAGTATGAGCTTCCTTCCAGTCTTTTTTCCCTCCAGCTTTACGGAGGCGTGATCGACAGTTTAAAATTGTGGACGCTGAAGGCGTGTAGCTTGGTTATTTGATTACATGTACGTTGAAACAGGCCCTCAGTCTGCCCAGGGCCTGTCTGCGGTCTGCACTGTGGAACGCTCCAGACCACGTGTCTCCCTCAGCAGGGAGGCCCCCTGGCTGGGCGGTGGGCGGGCGTCTGCACCCGTCTAGGGCCGCGGCTGCGCAGAGCAGCCGGGCTCTGTGGGTCACCCCGTCTCTTCTCCGTCTCAGAGATCTCCTTCCGCGTGTGGCAGTGTGGGGGCAGCCTGGAGATCATCCCCTGCAGCCGCGTGGGCCACGTGTTCCGGAAGCAGCACCCCTACACTTTCCCCGGCGGCAGCGGCACTGTCTTCGCCCGGTAAGTGGTTAGAGGCTGAGCAGGGCCCAGGGCACTGCTGACCGCCCCCCAGACAGGAGGCCACCTCGATCCACGGAGACATGTCCTTCAGTGGCGCGCCCCGCAGCAGTGACGGGGGACAGCGGTCCAGCCACACCCCGCGGCGCCTCTCACGGGCGCTGTGCTGAGTGAGGTGCCGGTCCCAGAAGGTTACATGCTGTGCGATTCCTCTCGCAGGACACGCCTGTCACTTGGGGACTTGCCGGGGTTGGGCTGGGGAGCGGTGACGACTGGGGCAGCAAGCGGGGGGGGATGTCCTGTGCCCCCTGCCCGTGGGGCTGGCCGGAGGGATGTGTGCATGTGTGAAAGCTCGCAGAACTGGACCCCCAGAAGCGCGGTAGGAAAAGATTGTTTTAAGAACTAGAACTTACACCTTTTTTATTACAGGTTACTCTTCAAGGTACAATATGTGAACAGTGTTAAAGTCAGAAAGATGCCATGATGTGTAGATAGGATTCGTGACAGATAATTGGTATATTTTAGCCAACATGAGAGCTTTCTGAAGAAAACTTGGAAATATTTGGTCCACAGGACCACATTTGTCTTTGGAAATTTTATAGATGCTAAAGACAAACCGGTTAGCCCGGCGTCAAGGAGTGGGGAGGAATCGGCCCAGCACCTGCTCAGCCAAATAAGATTATTTTAAACATTAATTAATGCTGTGGAAAGAGGAAATGTGGCCATGCGGTCAGGCATGAGGGGACCGAATAAGCAGGTCCACGGCGCTGAGGTAAAGGTGATTTTTGGCACACCCGCGCAACAGAAGGACACCAGGTGTGCCTGGAGCCTGGAGAACAGGGACAGGAGGCCGGGCGGGAGATCCAGACCCGCCCCTGGCCCGCTCCCTGGAGGTGGTGGGAGACTTTGGCTGTTGTTCTAATGCGGGGAAGGTGTGGGCGGGGGCCAGTGGGGGTTCCAGGCAGTACCTCCGCCTCTGTTTTAAGCTTTAGAGAGGCCCCTTTGGCTGGGTGGAGGGTGGCAAGGAGGGGACACCAGGTGGTGCGTGTGTCCCTCCCTCCACAGCAGGGTCAGAGGCGGTGCTTTCTAAGAGCTGCAGCTGTAGCCAGAGGTGAGGTGGCCTGGATCAGGGCCATGGCCATGGGGCCAGGTTCCAGCTACTTTCTGAGGCAGGCAGTGTGTACCCACGGGGTGGCAGAGACAGGAAACAGGGCAAGGGGTGACACCAGGCTGTTGGTCACACAGGTGCTGATCTGATGCCCCTGCTGAAGACCGAGAGTGTTAGAGTCGGGCAGGAGTTCAGTTGGGGCAGGGCAGAATGACTGGCTTATCTTTTATTTAAACTTTGATTAAGTACAGATTGCACAATGCTCATGCATTGTACAGAAGGTGAATTTTTAGCACAGAGCATCTGAGTTCTAGGAAATTCTAACAGAAGCCAAATATCAAATAATGCTTGTGACCAAATGACCTCAGAAAGTATGTCATTTTTCAGATGTTGCCTGAACCTCCCTGTTGTTCTTTATGAGAAACAAATATATGGTCTCATAAAATGAACTGCACAAAATGAAACACACATTTTCCCCTGGGGGCCACGTGAACTCTTTCCAGAAACCTTGTATAGACACTGAGTACCCAAATCAAAGCCATTGTGTTTCCTGGCCAGCGGCGGGGTTTCAGAAATTCTGGTGACACACACCAGACGTAGCCCTGCACACACTTACAGGAGCACTCCCTTCTCGACGGGAAGCCGTCTCATTGTGTTTTACAGCCCAGGAGCTGCGTAGTGGAGATCTGGAGAGGAAACTGCCCCCACGGCAGTATCCGGGGGCAGCGCTGATCTGTTAGACCTTGAGCGAGGCCCTCCCTCCCCTCTATCTCAGTGACTCAGCTAAAGATAGGTGGAATTATGTCACTTCTGAGGTCCCTTTCCAGTCCCAAGTTCTCTTTAATTTCCTCTAATATTGGCATTAAATGTACAAGTATGTCACCATCTAAAATGTGGGACTTCACAACAATAGCCAAGATTCATAGAGTGTTGTGTGTGGCCAGCTGTACTTTACAAATATGAACCTTTGCAGTTCTCGTAAGAACTTAGGAATGAAATACTATATTATTTATCCCCACTTTGGAGAGAAGGGCAAATGAGATAGAAAAGCTTGATTCCTTTGTCCAAGTTCACATGCTGGAAAGTGGCAGAGCTGGATGGAGGCCGGCGGTTTGGCTCGGAATCCGAGTCATCACCATGCACTGACCTTTTTCTAGATCCCTCAGTGCAGCTCGGGCCTGCGGTCGCCGGGACTCGGGAATTGGGTTCAGATTCTAAAATTGGCTACAGAGTGGCACGTAGCAGGTGGTTTCAGCCAGTCGGGCAGCGAGTGAGTGGCGGGTGAGTGAATGGAGCAGGTCACCCACATCCCCCCGTGTTTTGCCACCCCCACGTGTGCCACGTGGCACCTGTTGCTTTAGGAAGAAGAAGCTGATGACACACCTGCAAGCTCTTGGTTGTGGCAGCCGCATCCCCTGGACCAGTAGAGAGCAGTTGGGCGGTTCCTTTCTGCGCGCACAGCTGCATTTCCAGTTAGCCTCTCGCGGGCCCGTGGCGGCCCTTGGAGGGGGCTGTGCTTGAGTGTGTGTGTTGATTGGCGTTTACCCAGAGGCCAGGAGAAGTCCCAGCAGAATAGCCGTGGGCTGTGGGGTAGATCCCTGGGGTGGACATCAGACTTAGGTTTAAGCAACTAATGGCGAGGCTGTTTATTCATGGTCATGGACCATATGACCAAATTAAACATAGAAAACCAGTGATTCAAACTTACTTTGTTACAAAACTCTTCTTGGTATTATCACCAAGCAGGATAAGTGGCCAGCTTGAATGCCTCTCCCGCCTGCTTCCCAGAGCTGTTTCATCTGCACTGAGGGGGGTGGGGGTGCAGTAGGGTCGGGGAGCAGAAGCCAGGAGAACCCGGGTCCATGAGCGTGGCCTCTCCAGGTGCCACTGTACCTACAGCACCTGGAAGACTGTTTGGCATAGTGTAGGTTCCGAATAAATACTTGAATGAATGAATTGAAACTAGCACTGAAGAGCACATGAAGTTTATTTTCTGAGACGACCTACACATCTCTTTCTGTTAAGTAGACAGGAAATGCTTTGCAGTTAGGAATTAAGAAGTGACTTAATCACTTAATGACTTAAGTGATTTAAGACCCAATTGGAACTCGTAAAACCTAGAACCATTAGGGCTGAAAGGGACCCGGGAGATCCTCACATCTTTCATTTTACTGCTGTGGAGTCCAAGCCCCAGGGGACTGAAGTCATAGAGCAGGGCAGAGGTTGACCGGAGAGAGGCTGAAGCATAGGCCCCTTAGCAGGACCGTTTCACAGCTCTCCTGAGGAAAAGACTTCTGACCCAGTATCCCCAGCACTTTACATACTTAGTGTTGTATCTGTGTATTTTTTCACAGAAAGTATAAAATCATCGACCTCGTTACCAAAGATAGCACTCTGATAATTTGGTGAAATCGTCTCTCAACCTTCCTCTCTCTCCCCATCCACACACATACCTACTGTGTGCTGTTTTGTAATCTGTTTTATTTTCACCCAACAAGTCAAGGACATCATTCCATGGCAACGCGTAAGATGTACACCAGTATTTTCAGTGGCCGAGTTTCGTCCATTTATTTGATGATGGTCATAAGTTTCGATCGCTTTGCCGTTATAAACCATGCCTGAGTGGTCGTATTTTCACGTAGTATATATTCTTGTTCCTGGTTGGTTATTTCCTTGAGATAAATTTCTAGAGGTGGGGACTGTGGGATCTTGTCCGTCTGTCTCCCATATCGCATCCTAAACAGTCCGTCTTCCACGTCATGAACAGGAAAAAGGTACATACATCACTTTTGTGTAAAAAACGTACGCCAAATGGGAACGATTTTAATCATCGCAACTTGGGTTCTTTGAAGGGCTCACCATTTAAAAGAGACCTTTCCGGTAGAGAAAAGGAAGTGTTTTAGAAGGCGAACACTGCCTCCCTCCGTATGTATTTTGGAAGAACAGATGCCTGCTGTGTGGGTCCCTGAGGATGACGGGCCGCGAGCCTGAGGAGCGAGTCTGCTTAGGAAACGTGTCCAGGCTACGGGAGCCAAGAGGGTCACTGTGCTGATGCTCCGTGGTAGGGGCCTTGGAAGGTTCGCAGGCTGAGACCTGGAGCCTGTGCAGGAGGCCGCTGGGAACACGTCAGGCCTTGAGAAGTAGCTTGTTCAGGGGCCTCGTTGATCATGAGTGAGTTAGGCACGTGGGTTCCTTTCCTTCTAGAAAAGCCTGTTCTGTCTGTGCTGCCCCCACAGAGCGCAGGAGGAGCCCCGGTGTGGGGCAGGGAGCTGCTGTCCCCTTCGGGTCACTATTCCCTGTGCAAACAGGGTCCTCAGCTCAGTCTGCAGAAGAGAGAGTCGCTTTCATGGCAACTCTTACCTGTTCTGGGCAGCTCCCCAGAGCTGTCTGGAGGGGGTAACAACATGAGAGAGGCCGTGGGGGCCAAAGGTTGGGGGCCGTGCTCCCGGGCCCCAGCTCTCCGTGGGTCCATCATGCACGTCTTTGCAGAGTAATTCCCTTTTTGCTTGCTTTATGCTGCAAGCCCAGTCTCTTCTCTGACATACCCGCCTGTGCTGGCATTCTCACTCTGACTTTTGCTCTTTGGTAACGTGTGTTCTGGGAAAGACAAGAAAGCAAGTTCTGTTTGTTCCGGAAACATCTGCTGAACACCCGCTCCTGAGTAGCACCCCAAGCAGACAAGCGCAGAGCGGGGCCGACGGCCAGAAAGCAAATCACAGCTCACGGAGGTTTATTTTGTTTCTAGTAACACCCGCCGGGCAGCAGAGGTCTGGATGGATGAATACAAAAATTTCTATTACGCAGCAGTGCCTTCTGCCAGGAACGTTCCTTATGGCAAGTGAGTGTCACCTGCAAGGATCCTTCTCGCGCTGGGATCCTGGGGGAGGGGCAAGGAGTGGGGGCTATGGCCAGCCTGCACCCCGAGAACCGTTCTGTGGCCAGAGTTGAGAACAACCGCCCAGGTGTCAAAGGGGAGGGTGTGGACCCAAGGTGGGGCAGGGCGGGGTCACAGGGACAGGTCACAGGGTCAGTCAAGGCTCCACCGCCTGCCCTGACCCTGTTCTCAGGGGCCGACTTCCAGGTTTGATGTCGAGAGCCTACAAGTTCTTAAAATCTGTAAGAGAACCCCGTTTCCCTCTTCCCCAGTATTCAGAGCCGACTGGAGCTGAGGAAGAAACTCAGCTGCAAGCCGTTCAAGTGGTACCTTGAAAATGTCTATCCAGAGTTAAGGTAGGTTCCTGGGAGCCTGGGGCTTTAAGGGCTTGGGAGCAACAAACGTCAGAAAGGTGGCAGGCTTCTCGGAGGAAAGTGAGGTTTGTGTTTCAGCAAGAGGCCTGGGGCTGGACTCCCAGTGAGAACTGCATGTCCCCGTGTCCCTGCCCAAGCTGTCCCCGGGCGTGGCTGAGAACGTGCTCCCTGAACCGTGCCCACCTGCCTTCTCCCCAGCGGAGTAACCCTTCCATTCTTAGACCTGGAACTATCCCAAGTTGTCACCCTGTCTCCCCTGTTCCCCCTTGTTAGATGATGGGCTCGATGACCTGGAGCCCTGTTGTCTGACTGGCCCTGTAAGTGGCCGGAGGAGCGGCTCCGGCCTCCCCACGGGCGTGCTCTCCGCCCCGCCTGCCAGGTGCCCCGGCCCGGCCTCCCTGTTCCGGCTCCTGTGGCCTCACCCTCTTTGCCCCTCTCATCCCCCTGCGCTTCTGCTCTCCGGGGGCAGCTGCCCCTCCCGTGAGCCAGCAGATAAGGGCACCCAACAGGCTGGAAGGGGGACCCTGCCCGTGTGCCTCCCCTCCAGGCTGGTTCTGCCACCTGTGAGGTGGGAAAGACGATGGCACCCTGCTTCCCACAGGAGTTAAAGTGACGCAGAAATTCTCTTCTAAGCCTTCTCCCTGCACCGGCCTTTCACCCTAAATTCACGTGAGCCCCGTGTCCCTGGGGAGCGTGGCACCCTCCCCACAGGACCCGTAGGTCTGCGGGCTTCATCTGCGGGGTCCACCTGAACTTCATCTCCTTAGAGGGACTGTCAGGGAGGTTTGGCCTTACTGGGGCACCTCCCTCACTCTGCATATTCCCAGAGCACCGCACAGCCTCCGACACAGACACAGTGACTGAATGTGAAGCCACCACCGTTGTCCCTCGTGCTCACGGCTCCTTCGGAGCCTGTCCCAGAGATTTGGCCGAGAGCTGGGTGATGCCACCTGGCCTGCCTCAGTGCGTCACCCTTCAGAACTATCCCTCTGCTCACGGGTGGCTCTGCTGGGGATTGAGAACTGTGCTGGTCACCAGTGGGAAGCCCCTGGTCGCCATCCCTCCCCTGGCCAGCGAGGGGCATCACAGCAGTGGACTGTAGCCCCTTAATGGTGCCCGTTTAGCTGTCAGCCACCTGTGGCTTGGTGGGTAACGACACCAGACGGTGACATTAAATGCACTGTTCCAGCCGAGGTCACCTGTGATGTGGGGTGACGTTGGGCCCTTTGCCACTTAAGACCACGTCTGAAGCATTCAGCACCACACCAGCGGGTGAATCTGCTCCTCTGTTCACGCAGGGCGGGGAGACACCCGCTTACTACTTGCGTTAGGTCAGTAATGATCACTGCCATTGACCCAGAGCTTCCCAAGGGTAGGCGCTGGGCTGCAAGCTTAAAAATGAAATGTTTTACGGAAAACTTGCCACCGCCCTGTTTGTGGGTGACGTGCGGGAGAGGGAACAAGGTTTGGAGAGGGGGAGATGAGAGCCCTCCCCTCCTTTCTCCTGCTGCCTGAGATGAAACCACCAGCAGGGGCTGGCATCGGGAGCTGGGGTCCCGCAGAGCTAAGCAGACGGTTCTCACGTTGCCTTCCAGGGTTCCCGACCATCAGGACATAGCTTTTGGGGCCTTGCAGCAGGGAACCAACTGCCTCGACACTTTGGGACATTTTGCGGACGGTGTTGTTGGAGTTTATGAGTGTCACAACGCGGGGGGCAACCAGGTACGTGCACGTGGTGAAGGTGAGCGCCTGGAGGCCCAGGGGAGCAGGGAGGGGCCCTGAGCTGAGCGTCGGCTGCCCCTGTCTCCTGTCATCGGAGACACCTGTGAGGAAGCCCCTGGCTGCTCCCAGCCCCCGCAGCCAGCCCAGGGTCAGGCGGGGTGTTCCAGAGTCGCCCGACGTCAGCCTCAGGCCGGGTTAGCACTGACATCCGTGTCCACTGCCACCCAGTGCCACCGCTGCCACCCACTGTCCTGTGATCCCACTGCCACCCACTGTCATCTACTGTCACCCACTGCCACCCACTGCCACCCACTGTCACCCACTGCCACCCACTGTCATCCACTGCCACCCAGTGCCACTCACTGTCACCCACTGTCATCCTCTGTCATCCCGCTGTCATCCACTGCCACCCAGTGCCACTCACTGCCACCCACTGTCATCCTCTGTCATCCTCTGTCATCCCACTGTCACCCGCTGTCATCTACTGTCACCCGCTGTCATCTACTGTCACCCACTGCCACCCACTGTCATCCTCTGTCATCCACCGCCACCCACGGCCCAGGCACGGCTGCAGGCTGGTGGCCTCCCCCTCCAGGTCTCCCGCCACCTTTGCCCCCCCGTGTGGGGCTCACCCCGAGTGCCTGCCCGCTGTGTGCTCCCGAGTCTGGTGCCTGGTGCTGTGAACACCGGCCTGTGTCCCTTCCTCACAGGTGCTTCGCTGTGGGTTGCCACTGAGGCCATTAGTAGATAATTACAGCTTCGGGTATAAAATATTAATACTTTCGTGCTCAGTTTGGCACACACGCCTTCTTCCAGAGGCATCCAAGCCTCCTGTCCGTGGAGGAGGGGAGAGGTGAGGGCTGGACAGGCCTGACCGTGGCGTGTGGTCCAGAAGGCGGTTTTCCCAGGAGACGGTAATGGGTACTTGGTAAAGTGTGGGCGTTGTACACACAAAAGTTTGGGCAGTGCTGTGTACTCCTGTCTCCTTGAAAACAAGCCCAGCTCTCAGAGGTCTTGCAGTTTAAAAAAAATCTGGGATCCACTTAGCTCAGTGGGTCCCAGATTCCTTGATCCCAGAACCTCCTTTAAGTAGAACTGTTTTCACCAGAGGGCCCTGCTTTCGTGTCAAGTTCTCTATTCCAGACCCTCCCAAGGAGCGTGTAGGCAGCTACAGTCCCCAGATACTTTGCCTACTTGGTGACGTCACTTTAGCGGCTGCCTGGAATGGCCTGGACATCCTAAATCAAATTAGGGTGGCGTGAGGGGGCGAGGGCAGTCCCCATCCAGCTTTGGGTCAGCATCGGTGGTCAGCCCAGCACCCAGGACTGGCCCCAAACACCCGTGCCGCTCGTGGGCTCCCAGGATCTCAGCTCTGTCCTTGAGGACGCCCTCTGGCTCCTGAGAATGCCCCCTGGGGACTGGCTGTGGGCTTTGGGTGAGCACAGCCTCTGGGCACAGCCTGGTGTGTGGGTGCCATCCCGCCCTGAGCCCTTCCATGTCCGTGTCTGCCCTGTGGTCTGAGGACTGAAGTTCAATGTGGTCTCGCTTCCTGCCGGGAGCCGGGTGGCCTGTGTGACTCTCCCGTGGTGGCAGCACTGCAGGGCCACGTGCAGTTGTCACCGGTCTCTCTCCGGTGCAGGCGCTGTTCCTTCCACACGGAGCATGTGTCTGAGCAGTTTGGGCCTCAGTGTGAGGACGGGAGAGATCGAATTTATCTGTTTCCAGCCGTAACCGTAATGGAAATACTGACATCTCGCCCTCAGAAAATCAAAGCTTTGAGCCCTGGCCGGTGGGCTCCGTGGTGAGAGTCCCGGCTCGTGCCCTGTAGGGCCGCAGGTTCGAGTCCCTGTCGGGGCACGTACCTGGATTGCAGGTTCGCTTCTGGCCCCCGTCAGGACGTGTGCAGGAGGCAGCCAGGCGATGTCTCTCTCTCACATCGATGTGTGTGTCTCCCTCTCTCCCCGCCTCCCTTCCACTCTCTAAATCAAAATAGAAAAAGTATCCTGGGGTGAGTATTAACAGGAAAAAGAAAGAAAGAAAATGGAAGCTTTGTGAAGACGGGGGACACGGTGGGTCTGACCTCCAGGCACCGAGTTCACCGGGTCTGGTCGCTGGGCAGCTGATTCCGCGGGGCCGGGCGCAGCTTCCTCTGGTCTGCGTGTGGCATGAACCCAGTCGGCCTCCGTCCGTGTTTTCAGGCCTCTCATTACTCCCGGGTGACCGCCCTCCCCCGCTCATCCCTTGGGTCTCCCCTGTCACATTCGCAGTGTTGATGACTCAGTGAGGCAGGGGTCATCCTTCCCATCTCAGCAGCTCCACTGGAAGGTCACCTGTCTTATTATAGAGCTTTTAACAAGGGCGTGAGCTCGCTCTTCCTGAGGGGTTTCCTGTTGGTCACCCCCTCCCTCCCCTCCCCCGGGGTCCCTGGCACCCAGCCTGGGCTCTGTGCCTGGCTTGTCCCATTCAGCACGGCCTCAAGGAACAGACTGCACCTTCACCCCACGGCTGAGAGGCCAGCGGCAGCTGGACATCGGGCTGCCAGGGCCGCCGCGACCCCCCACGTCCCCCCAGGAGGAAGCGCAGGCCGCTGTGGCTCTGGCTCCCCGACCCTGCCTGGCCGTGGATCTCTGAGCCTGCCCCCAGCGGGCCCCCAGGCCGGCTGCCCTGCCACAGCCTGGCCTGCCCAGCACTCGGGCTGTTCACACCCACTGACTCCCTGTGGTGTGGGATAGCTTCCCTCTTAGTCTCAGAGTGTGTTGTTTGGACAGTAAATTTGTAGGCCCTGGAGCTCACCGGTGACAAGCTGCTCTCAGGATGCCCTTGGGGGAGGAAGCGGATTGGGACACAGAGGTGGCAGTGCTCTGTCGTGGCCCAGGCCGCTGTGTGCAGGCAGAGCCTGCGTGGAGACCGGCGAGGTGGCCTGTCACAGCACACCGCTCTGATTCCCTTTCCCTGTTGCTCCCGTGACCCTCGCTGATCTCACAGGGGCCCTTCCCTTCTCCCCGGCGCGTCGTTGCTGAGTGGCTGCTGGACCGGGTGCTGCGCCGGGCCCTCGGCTGGAGCTGAGGACACAGCCTGTGGGGCCCGGGCAGCTCGCCGGGGCTCGCTGGCAGCACCCACGTGGTGGCTGTGCCCTGGAGGAGCCCCGGAACTTGTAGAAAATGCTGCTGCCGGGTCCCCCGCCTGATTTGGTTCGTCTGGGCCCAGAGGGCATCAGGGTTTCTGAGACTCTGAGGGGGGCGATTCTAAACGCGCCGCTGAGCAGCGCGGGGTTTCTGTTGGGAGAGGACACGTCAGCAGGTGACAGGTGCAGGGCCTGGTGTACCTTCACCCCCACACCTGGGCACACCTTCCTCCAAGGACCAGCCTGAGGCCCAGGAGCCGCTCTCTCGATCCACACTGTCTGTAGACCTCGTATGAGAATGTCCTAGATTGTCCAGCACAGTGGCCACCGGCCTGTGTACGGAGCACCGAGTGTGGCTGGTGTGACCGATGATGTCAAATAAAGGTCTTATTTTAAAGCCACGTGCGGCTGGGGGCACCGTCTGGGGAGTGGGGAGCACAGTGCTGAGGGGTCAGGACGCCAGAGCTCGCGCTCGCCACTTGGCGTTCCCTCGCAAACCTCCCACACCACGCAGACGACAAGTGAGCAGGTAAAGGGCATTTCCTAACTGGAAGCGGGGCCCTGCCCTGGAAGAGTGAGATCTGCTCTCGGGTTTCCGGTGGAGCCTCAGCGACTCAGAAAATGGGAAGATTAATAGCCATGCTCTTTAAGAACGGCAGCTTGGAAAAGCGTTTCTTAAATATTTATGAACTTTACAAATTCAGATCATTGGAATGCAACAAGAGAACAGAGTGGCGACTAGCTCTGCTGTTTGCGTCGCTGAACTAGTTTTTCTGGAACCAGTGTCAAGACGGTTTTAAAAGGGGCTCAGTAGCGAGGTGGTGGAGACATTTATACGTGCGCTTTAATTAGGTATCCGCAAGCCTTCCGGCCTCTCTCAACACCTGCTTTGGATGAGGATCTAGAACCTTCTCCATGCAGTCCCCTGCCCGGTCCTCTAACCCGTGAGTGGGGGGGGTGTCAGGTTGGTGACTCTCAGTGAGTGAAAGCCGGTGCTGTGCTCCTTCCTGGGACCCCTTCACCCCACGTGCCGTCCTGCAGCTCAGGTGGTGGGTGACGTCGGGTGCCCGTTGGGGCCTCGGCAGCACTGCTGTGGAGTGACCGCACCGTGGGAGGTTGGACCGACCCTCGGCTGCGTGCGGCCCTCCCAGAGAGTGACCTGCAGCCGGCACTCGGCCGCGGTGGGGACAGGGCGACTCTCAGGAAAACAGGCCAGCAGGTTCCTCTGCTCTCAGACTTTCAGACCCTTTCATAGGCTGCCTTTGTGAATTTGCAGGAGAGAAACGGGGCCTAAATCCAGCGTTTCCCAAATGTGTCTGACTTGGAATGCACGTTGAGAAACACGAATTAAAAGATAAGCAGCTGACGTCGAGGAGGGTGAGGGGACTGGCCCGAGTCTGACTCCCCGTTAGGAGGGAGCGGAGGCTGGGAGCAGGCGAAGGGGCGTCACCCGTCCCTGGCCCGCTGCTGCGCCTCTGCGGCCCCTGCGCCCACCCTCCGGCGCTGGGCACCTGCGTCCCCGTGGCTGGTGAGGGCAGGCGTGCTGGGTGTCGGTGCTTTTCTCAGCTGACTGTTTGTTCCAGGGCGACTTTGTGCTAAATGGTGGGGCTTCTTGAAATGTTAATTCCTTCTCTTACCCTCCCCCTGAGAACAGAAAAGAGGAAAACAGTTTCTCCTGTTTAAAACAGTTTAGCGCTTGAAATCACAGACCCCTTGTTTACCACTGTGTTACCCTTTCTCCCGGGGAGAGCGCGCTCAGGGCAGGGCCTGGCCTGTCTGTTCGCGGCCGTGTGTCCAGCCTTGTGGGAGCACTTGCGGCCGTGCAGGGCACAGTCACTGGGTGGATGATGGACTGATGGGTGGAGGGAGAGTGGACAGACGGATGGAGGAGTTGTAGCAGCTTTTCTGGGCGTGTAGCAGGAGGGGGGATGGGGTGGGTAAAGGGGTCCCGTGGGAGACTCAGTTGGAAGCTGTTTCTGGATCCTGAGGGCTCACTTGGATGCTGACTCCTTTGAAAGGGTCAACCCTGGAGTGACGGTCAGAGGCCTCACCCTCCTCTCCTCCTGCGGCCCTGCCCAGAGCAGGCTCCTGGCCCCCCCTGCCTGCAGCCACACTTACCCTCTCCCTTCTCAGGCTTCCTTTAGGATGCAAAATAAATGGTTGTGCTCTCACCTCCCTCCCAGCCCTTAAGGGGTGCGTGTGAGTATGTTGAATGTGTGTATGTATATAGGTTTGTTTGTATTTTTAAAAATCATGGGCAAGTCACTTCACTCCGTGGCTCAGTTTTCTCATCTATAGAATGGAGTTAAGAATAGACTACCAGGGTCTGTTCTCTAAAGGGCTTAAGAGAGTACTTGGCACATAACAGGCGCCTGCTGTGAGCTGTGTGGTGTGTGTGTGGATACACAGCCACTCCCGGGGCTCAGAGGACCTCCTGAGCGTCAGGAGGTCAGCTCTGCCCAGTTGTGAGGCTCTGCACTATGCATTTCACTTACACCTGCCGTGTGTCAAGTAGAATATTTACACATTGCAATCCACTTTCACAAATGCTGATGCAAACCACACCTGCCTGAGGCAGAGTCTTTCCAAAATAATGTGGCTGGAAAGTGGACCCTGAACAGTGCACCTGTGACCCAGCTTGAGCAGTGTTTACAGCTCACACTCAGTGATGGAGAAATGGGTGTGGCAATCTCATTTGCATTTGGGGCTAAAATAGGTGATACTGTTCCTCTTACTCAGGTTCCCCGAGCACTGAGTGCTGATTATGGGGGTCCCCGGGCGCCCCCCCCCCCAGTTGTAGGCACAGTCATTTGATGGCTCTGAGCCGGTGCGGTCTCCCTGTTTCCCTCTGGGGGCCCCGCTTCACCTCTCTCACTTCCCAGCCCTGCGTGGCGCACGCCTCTGACCAAGTCCGGTTTTATGTTCCAGGAATGGGCCTTGACCAAGGAGAAGTCGGTGAAGCACATGGACTTGTGTCTGACAGTAGTGGACCGGGCGCCCGGCTCGCTCATCAAGCTGCAGGGCTGCCGAGAAAACGACAGCAGACAGGTACGCTTCTCGGCACCCGAGGGTGCCAGTGCCGGACTCCAACCCGCCGGCTGCCCTGGGCTCCGCGTTGCCCACTTACATGACTGATGTCCAGCTGCCTTATTTGACTTAAGCTCCTTGCTCCGCTGGTAACCCCAGCACGGGATAGAGTTCCCGGCAGGTGGGAGGCGCACTCAGTGGATTCAGTGCTGGAGTGGCTGTGGGATCCTGATGGCTGTGAGCGGTGTGGGGCGTGAGTGCTTGAAGGCTGGTGCATCTCCCGCGTGTGTCTGAGTGCCAGGCACTGTGGCCCGGACCCCATCACTTTCTGCTCCATCAGACCTCTGGCACGTGGAGACCACAGGCGTGGCGGGAGGGACAGTCACAGAGCAGTGACCTGTGGCCAGCAGCTTTTCTGTCAACGGAAAACTCAGGGCGGCCCAGCAGGTACGCAGCCACACCTGAGAGCCAGCCACACCTGAGAGCACGGCTCAGGCACAGATGGGAACAGGTGGCTTTTCTGGATGCGTGGCAGGTGTGAGGACCCATTAAAGTGATCACCCTGAGACTCAGCCCATTAGAGAGGAATGCTCCTAATTAGAAAGCAAGGTTCCCAGTAACGTTGCAGTCGGTCCTTGGTGTCTCGGAAGTTTGCCCTACCCCCCGACAGTCCTCTCAGAGTGACAGTCCGAGCTGACAGGACTGCCTTCCAGAGGCCGCAGGGGCTGGTGCTTTTTAAAGGCCTCCGTTGAGCAGATGCTTTGACACATGACAGACAGCCCTTCCCGAGAGGGAATCAGACTTCATTCATCCATAGTCTTTGTCAAGCTGATTGCTGGCCACTCAGGGTGACGTTGGATGTTGGCAGCTGTGCACACACTTTCCATGACGATGGAGACCAGCAGCACGGGGAGTGACAGTCTCAGCAGAGGTGGAGCCAGAATGAGAGGGGATGGCCTCCTGGCGCTCACCTGAGGGCCCTGAATTTCACTGTTGGCAGGAAGGCCAGGTTAGCGGGCGTGAGCGCCTCGGGGCCCTGAGAGCATCATCACCGGGATCCTGGTGTGGCAGGTCCCGTCCTGGGGCGCTGGCTCCTCTCTGCCTCACCCATTTGCCCTTTGAGAAGAGGCTCCTCAGCTATTTTTATCTTAAAGCTGCACTGTCTCGCCAGTTGGAATATTTGGTTTCCAGGCACGTCTCCGTGCTCGTATCATGTGTACATTTGCAGAGTCAGAGCGGAAAGGGAGGCGAGAGGAAGGAAATTCACTTCCACAGCATTGAAAGGATTTGCAAAACTACTTAGGGAAAGGAGCGCCAGTGCACACAGCGTAAAAAATTAATTAGTCACAGACCACATTAGTGAAGGGAGAGCGCTGGGGGAAAGAAGTGGGTTACTTTTTTATTATGAACAAGCATTAGATATTTTTACATGGGGATAAACGACAGGTGAGAGGTCCCTAGATGTCTATAGGCTGGATCATGGGCTTTGTCTTCTGACTTGGTGGGCTGAGGTGGGTGGGTTGGTGAGTGGAGCTTGGTTGGTTGGTAGGTTGAATTTGGCTGGTTGATGGGTTGATTGGTCGTTGAGTTTGGCTGGCGGTTGGTTTGGTGTTAGTGGGGTGTATGTGGACACACATTAGTAGGAGACATTATACGCTGTATTTTACAAGTGGGACATTCAGAACTCAACAAAATTGTTCGGTCCCTGCCACGCAGAGCACTGGGGACTGGAGGGTAGCTGAGACCAGCTTCTCGCACCCAGCTAAGAGCTCACACACTAGTAGAGGAGACATGCAAGAGAGAAGTAGGTTCTTGAACTTGATGTTCTGTCCACAAAGGCTTCTCGTGTTTTGACCTGACACAGCGCCTCTGGTTCACCTGAGCATAGTCCCTAAGTGGGAGCCTGGAAGTGCCCAGACCAAGCTCCCGGGCAGGGCTGCCTTCCAGCAGCCAGGGGCAGGACTGGGGCTCCTGGGGCTTCTTTCTTGGGGTGAAGTACAAGACCAAGCCTCCTGGTGAATGGATGCAGATTCCCTCAGGAAAGCACTGGGGCTTGGACGAGGGGACACCCAGTGCGGGGACGGGATGGGGCGAGAGGAGTGGTCTTTAGCGGCCCAGAGAAGAGGTTTTGAGTTGCAAATCAGCATGGACACAGGTTTCTTTCCTGGGCCCTCAGCAGCACCTGCGGCTGCTTCGTCTTGGGGCTCTTGCCAACGCCCATCCTTTATGGTCAGAAACCAGAAAAGCGTGTTTGTTGGTTTTTAATGCAGCCCCATGACCCTGTAAATGGACCCGTTCGGGCTCTTTCGTTTGCGCTCACACCGGGAGGCGTTCTCCTGTCTTTTGCAGAAATGGGAGCAGATCGAGGGCAATTCCAAGCTGCGGCACGTGGGCAGCAACCTGTGCCTGGACAGCCGCACAGCCAAGACGGGCGGCCTGAGCGTGGAGGTGTGCGGCCCCTCCCTGTCCCAGCAGTGGAAGTTCTCGCTCAACCTGCAGCCGTAGGCGCCCGGGCCGGCCGGCTCCCACACCAGCAGCCTGAGTCGGATGATCGTGATTTGGATTCTGTTCTTAAACTTTCCGCGAAACTACATACCTCAGTATTCCATCATGGTCTGGAAGTCGGACGCTTCGGCAAGGCACGGGGCTGGGCGGCCACGGGAGAGGCGGGGAAGGGAACTGCCCCCTCCAGCCACAGGACGCGGCCAGGTCCCCTGTCCGGAGGCCACGGCCGCCCCTTCCTTCCCGGCTTCCTCCTGGTCCTCGCCCAGACGCTGAGGAACATCCCCAGGGACAACAGGGATGTGACAACGAAGGCCTGCGGTTGGGAGACGGGCGGGGGAGGGGCGCCGTGGCTCCGATGCAGCGGGGAGAGCTCTGAAACCTCCACCTGACCCCGTCGCGAGCACACGTGGCCCGTGCACTGATGGCCACCACGCAGGTTTCTGTCTTCCCTTTCCCTGCCCCGCGGTTCCCAGCCGCAGACCCCCGCACACAGCGTACTTGCCGCGTTTGAATATGAACTTTTCTATGGCGGGACACTAAATATAAATATATATACCGAAAGAGCGTACGGTCAGTTCCCTATGGTTTCTGTAGGTCCTCATCTTGTAAATTCTCACGGAGCAGCGCCCGGCCATGTGGGGTGGACGAGCCCTTTGGGGCCTGGCTCTCCCGGAGCAGAAGTGACCTCCGCCCCCCGTGAGTGGCCTTAGCGGTGGGCAGGGGCCGCGGTGGCCGGCTGGGGGCCCAGAGGCCGGCCTCAGCCAAGTGTCTTTGTTTGACTTCAGCGCGGGAGCCACTGCTCTGTGTTGGAATCCACTTTTCGTGCCCTTGGTATCTGTAAACCTGGACGGGTTACTTATTTTAACAAATATTGCTTTAGGTCTTTTTAAATTGAATTTTTTTTCTCTAAGGAAAAAAAAACCCGATCCCACAGCTCCCAGTGACTGTCAGAGGCTGCCACGGGCGGGGCCGGGCTAAGGGTGAGTGTCCTGGTGAGCCGGTGGCCCTGTCACCGGGCCCTGGACTCTGGCCTGCCTGTTCTGCCCCTCCCAGGCCCAGGGGGCGCCTCAGGAGCTTTGGGTCAAGAATCAGGAAGGACGGAGGCCGACCCGCCTGCTCGCTGGTGCCGAGGCCTCGGCCCGAGGCAGCAGCCCGTGGGTTAGGAAGGAGAAGTCAGAAGAAACCACAAGACAGTTACGAGCGAAAAGTAACAACAGGAAGAGATACCTGGGCGCCTGCCTGGCCGCCCAGGGATGCCCGCGGAGCCCTCCTTGTCTTTGCCGTGGCCCCACCTGCAGTGACAGACCAGCCCCGGCCCCCTGCAGAAGGCTCCCTGGCCGCCTGGCCACTGCCCCCCTTCCCTCGCCCCCTCCCACACTCATGCCAGTCTCAGGCTGGCCACGCCCACAGCCCACCAGCTGCCAGGCCCCTGTGGGCTGGATGAGCAGGTCACAGAAGCGGCCCTGGAAGACCCTGCTAGGTTGACACTGCCACGAGCCACTGCTCCCTGCTCATTTCTTTTAGGAGAGGGAACATCGTTGGCCCCCTTCCTCCACGCGTCTGCTTTATGACAGTGGATTGGGCACGGGAGCGTGGCTGGGGGCTTTTCCCCGCCTTCTCCCTTTCGCCCCTGCCAGGCAACCAGGTGTATGTCAGTGGCCAGGGAGGCGGAGGCTGGGTGACCGCCACACGTAAGTCTTCAGAGGCTGGTCTCGACTACAAGTAGGCCCCTGGGGAGAGTCACGTACCTGTGTAAGGCCGTCAGATTCAAGTGGGGGAGGTGCCGATGCGCTGGGCCCGAGCCCTGCCTCCCATCCTCAGACGTCAGACGCTGTCACCTGCGAGCAATTACTACTGTTAGAAAAAAATCCCACTGAAGGAAAACAAATCTGGCTTAGGCGGAAAACAAATTCTCATCAGGTTCTTGACGATCCTTCGCCCACACACCCGCCCAACCCAGAAGTCTGACCAGCGTTTCAAAGGGGGCCGGTACACGCAGTCCCTTGGGGGGCACTCCCTGTCCCGGAGCTGGTGGGCGCGGTGGCCTTGGACAGTGTGGGTGTTGTGAGCGGTGGCCGGGAGGGCCCCCCGGAGGCGGGCTATGTTTACATGACACAGTGTGCCAAAGTGACTTACTGCGGTTGCTGTATTTTGTAGTCATCGGGGCTCTCCTCCCCCTCCCGCTCCGTTTTTACAAATAAAGATCCTAAGAGCCCGTCGGGCAGCGTGGCGCAGCTGGTCGTCTTCTCTGTGGTGGTCTTTCTTATGTCCTCATAAAAGCTAAAATGATGGTATCTGTGAGTATGTTTTGCAAATTTCAAAATATAGTTTGGTAATTTTTTTTCCAGTTGATTTTTTAAAAGAACTGCTGTACAGAGCTTGTACTTTGTCCATTTTATAGATGGAAACCATCCTTGAAAATTGTTTAACTTAAATAAAGAGAAGATACTTTATAGATAACGCTCCCCGGTGGCAGCTGCGGTCCTTCTTGGTCTTGGGGGAGGGTGCATGTGGCTGGTGTTAAAGGACAGAGATTATGGTCCGTCGGCTTCGGGGGGCCCAGCTCAATCCCGTTTCTTACCACGATTCTAAAATGCATTCACCTCTTACCACTGCGCCTTTTTGTTATTTGTAATAATAACTTACCATTTGTGGAGGGTTTATGATGTGCCAGGCAGGCAGCCAAGCCCTTAAATACATCGTCTTCTCACGGTGACCGGCGAGTCGTGGTCGGGCTGCGTTTTACAGCTGGCTGAGGAGGCGGGTGCCTGAAGCCCTTAACCTGGCTCAGGGCCAGGGGCTGACCTGCTCAAGGTCATGAGCCTCCTGGGTACTCACCTGGAGCCAGTTCCAGGCGCCCAGACCCAGAGCCTACCGTCCAAACCGGGTAGGCCGAGGGAAGCACAGCTTTTAAAGTGTTTAAAATCGATACACTTGTTTACCAGTTTCCTGAGCTCTCCGATTCCATCCGAGGCTGCCTGAGGTGCTTCCCTCATCTTTGGCCTCTTGAAATACCTGCCTTTCAACACCCCCACAGCGTGCGGGAAACAGTGACCAGTCCTCGTCAGTCATTCGGACTGAGACCGAGGGAGGGGGCCGGCGCTGCGAAGACGGGCCAGGTGAGTGTTTTCAACGTTCCGGAGGCCACGTTCAAGCGTCTTCTTTCTCCATTTTATTTAAAACCACCACAAGTTTGGCTCTCCTGCCATCTGAGAAATAAAACAAGCTCAACATAATCGTGCAGTGTCCATCAGAGCCTCGAGGAATCTGTGTGTGTGTGTGTGTTTCTTGCTTTGGCAACGGGGGAAAGTTTATTCATGCAATAAATATTTGCTGAGAAATGTTCTGTGCTGCCCTGAGAGTCCTGAAGACCAAGAAGGGAGAAAACCTGAAATGTCAAAAAAAGGACAGCCGGCCAAGTGCTCTGCAGGCTCAGAGTGGGAGTGACACGGGAGGAGATTCTCAGCGGACAGAGGGGGACAGAAGCGGGCGTCCCCAGTGCTCAGGAAGGACTTGGCTGGTCCTGGGGGAAGGGAGCTCTGGACTGGAGCAGAAAGGAGCAGATTTTAGAATAAAATACTTAAGCCAACTCAGCTCTTTGATTCTGTGATACATTTCACATTTCAAAAAAATATTCAGCCAGGAAAAAAAAACTCATTCTCTCTGTCCATGGGCTGACCTAAGAGAAAATTGTCTTCCTGGACATATGACACATTTCTGAGCAGTTACTAATAATACAACGTACATGTATTTGATTTTATGTATCCCGCGTGCCTGCAAATGTTTTGGAGACGCACCATGTTTCCGAAAGACTGTATCCGTAGGGTCCCAAAGGCGTGATGAGGAAGATTCGGCAGCTGCTGCTGGGCTCCTGGGGCTGGTCCCCGGGTGGGCGGGGCGGGGCTGCAGGAAAGGCCGCCGTGGTCCTCATCGCAGGTGACACCCCCGGGGAGTCACGCTTTCAACCAGACCTTGAATGCAGGTATGAGGATAAGGATTGGGTCCCAGAAAGGCCCCGGCCTCCTGAAGGTGACCTGAGAACCCTTGGGGGGG